GACTTTGGAAATGTCACATCCCACACACGCTGCAGAGAGAACAGACTGCCCCACCTGGAGGAAGGAGGAAGCAGGAAGCGCCTCGTAGAGAGGCCTCCCCCCATCATTCTGTGGGGTAAGGCAGGTGGGACCTGGGGTGGGCTACCACCCTCCGCTCATTCCTGCCTGGCCAGCGGGCAGGGGCTGGCATTGCAGGGGTCAATCAGAAAGGCTCTGAAAACTGGATTTTACAGGGAAAGGCAAGGAAATGCTAGGGACTTACCAAGTTCCAGATTCTTAAGTGACAGCATAGAAACCAAGGAAAACATTTCAAAAAACCATACCCCACACAGTGAAGTCAGGCTGAAATTGTGATCACGGGTGGTGACGATAAACAGGACAGGCAGAATGGAGAAGCAATTAGTCCTGCCTCCCGGCCACATCACATACATGCTGCTCTGAAGGGAAACCCTTCCCAAACCCAGGCAGTCCGAGCCCGCCCCTGGCCACACCGGGAGCCTCACTGCCACTGCGTCTCCAGCAGCAGGACCTGAATACTGCCAAGCTGGCTGGCTCTCGGCGCATTTCCTCCCGGATTTTTTTAAAGAAGTTCCAAAAAATAAAATAAAAAGTTCAAGAAATAACTCGACGCACCAACGATTACTTATACCCAACCGACTCGATCCCACCACCAGTTCCAAAGGAGCCCGGCTACTCTCTCCCCGCACTGCACCCCTGCCATTTGTTGGAGAGGAACAGGAAACAGAGCGGGTAAACACATCACCCCACCCCTGGGACCTAGTGTCCATTTCTCCGGTTATCTTATTTTGTACTTTATGTTTGTTAGGGGAGGCAAGGGAGAAATGGAAATCACTGGCTAAATGAGATTTAGGGATTATTGGAGGATTTATTGTCATACATTCTCTCCATTGTCAGGCCCTAATGCAGCTTTGGCTGTATCTTTGTCGTGCATTAAGTAGCCAAGGAGTTTCAGACTTTGTAGAGAACATGCGACAGGCGGATCACAGCATTTGCATCCTAATTTATTCTTACAAATGCCGAGTCCTGGAGAAAGCCAGGACTGCCAACTGTCAGACAGGCAACACAGTTGCAATAGCAAATAACAGGAACATGTGGTTGGCTTTAAAGTTTTCCTTAACCACACAGATTCTGCTGGGGCCGGTGCTGACTAGAACCAGTCAGTGGAGGTCATTCCACCCCCCTCGCCAGACACTTGTTTCGGCTCAGTCCCTGTGATGTGACCTGGCCATGGGAAGAAAATGAAACTGCTGGAGGCTTCTGGAAATGTTTTCCCATCTCAGAGAACAAAACACGACAAGGATTTGCTCCTCCTTCTCCAGGCCTCTGCTGTGTGGCCATGGGAAGCCATGGTGCTTGGAGCTGCCAGGGCTTTCTTGGGATCACGAGGGAAAAAAGGTCAAGAGCATTTCTGAGAAGCGGCCCCAGGTCCTGACGTCACGGAGCTGCCCAGTGAAGCAGCCCTCCATCACCTTCAGAAAGGTCATGGCACAAGCTCAGTTTCCTCATTGTTGTGGCTGTTTCACTGGATACTCAGTCCACTGCAGCCAAAATGTCAAACAGATCCAAGGCTCCTGGGAGAATTGGGCAAAGAATAAGAAAGTCTGTTTGGGACCAGCAAACAGTGAAAAGTGATCAAGTTCACAGGTGGCAGGAACGCCCTTAGGGACTCAGTGGGGAAAGTATGAATTGGTACAGCTTTTTCTAAAGGCCACTTGGCAACGGCCACATAAATGTGCACTTAAAATATGCACCCTATGATGAAGCAATTGGGTTTGAAGAATCTATTGCGCAAAACTTCGCTCTCCTTCTCTGGCCTGCTTTTGCAGGGAGGATGACCTCCAAAACCTGCCTGGTCCCTTAGCCCTAAAGTCTCCAGTGTGGCTCAGCAGGGGACCCGGGTGGAGGGAACAGAGCAGGAAACTTACCCCCAGGTACATACTCTCCACCCACCTCCCACCCAAGGAGCCTGCTCACTTGAATGCCTCAGGTTATGGCTTCAGAGAGGCAGCCCAGCCCTCTTCCAGGGTAACTCACTTCAGGGCCCTGCCCCTTAACTCTGCCCACCCCCGGCCTCCACTAACAGTCCCCTGATCAGCTCCTCATTTTAGCCATCTGAGCTCCACCTGTTCCCACGTGGGATCCTGTCAGACTCGTCCTCCTCCGAAATGCACCCCTAGACCCAAAGGACTTCCCCTTCCCCACGTGCACTAGACGTGAAGCTGGGGAGGCAGGAGTAGGTGTGTTTTTGTTCACCATGGTAGACCCAGCACTTAACATGAAACTGCTGAGTAAATATTTGTGTTCTAGAAGGATCTAGCATAGAATGGATGAGCTGCCATTTACTGAACTGTCTCAGAGTTACTGGATACAGGGACACAGCCGTGAACACACAGTCACACTCAGGAATGTGTCCTGTAAGAGCAAGGTGAATGTCGTGTGTGTTGGTCATCGTACAAAGACATAGATCTTAAGTAAAAAAAATTAAAATCACAGTCTCTACAGAATGAACCTCTTGGTATAAACAGAAGTGGAAGCACACCCTGGTGTTTGAAAAGGAGAGGTCTGAAAGGGTGAGCAGCTGGAACTTGGTGGGTTTGGGAGAGGGAGAATTTGGGAGAATGAAAAGGGGTCTTTCTTTAAATAGTATTTCTGCAATGATTTTTTTTTACTGTAAGCATGTATCACTAGACTTATTTGGGAATTAAGAAATCATCAAATAAGTAAAACCGGTCACAGAACTGGATTCCGTAGCCTGATTGTCACTCTTTGGTAAAGCAGCGCACGAAAGCCAGCCACAGGGCCTCGGGTGCTTTCCTTCTTCTCACTCTGGTTTAGCGATGGCTCCGGGTCCCTCTGACCTCTAACGTGGGTCTGTGATTCCCCCGGCTTTAGTGCCCCCCGACAGGCTCCCCCAGAGACCATTTAAAACGAGAACCTCTAAGGAGAGGCCCCCAGACCAGCAGCATCAGGGTCACCTGAGAACTCGATGAAATGCTCTGCACTCCCATGCGCCACCCACCAAGACCACCGGCCTCGCTGCCTGAGCATTTCAGTGGCCTCAGAAAACGGAGCCCATCCTTGGGCTACGCTGCCCCTCCGCAGTCAGCGCCACGCCCCGTCCCAAGGGCTGAAAGCCAGGCCAGACCCAGGTGCCCGCCACCGCCCACGTCACCACCACCCAGACCTGCGCTTCCGGTCTCACTGCTCTGGTGCCTTCGGTGCCACTGAGACCGCCCAGGGCCCACCAGGATCATCCAGCACCGGCACCCCACGCCACGCCGCACGCCACTCAAGTGCAGGCCCTCACATCCATCTACACCCTTGACGAGCCAGCCCTGCATCTTCAGGGGCCATGTCTCATCTGTCCTAGACACAGCAGTCCTTCAGCCACACTAACCTGCACCAGTCCTGGGACTCGCCAGCCTCCCTCCTGGCCCTGTGGCTTTGGGACGCACTGACTGGGCCAGCCTGCCCCTGCCTTCCTCACCACCCAGCTCAAGTGCCCACCCCTCTTTCACAACCCCGGTCCTAATCCACCAGGCTAGATGGGGTGTTCTCACCCTGCGGCACCGAGGGCAGCCTCCATCAGCGCTCCCTCAGACGGCTATTTAACTGGAGAATTGCTCAAGGGCAGGACTGCCCATGACTCCCACACCACTGTCCCCAGCCCAGTTCCTGGCATCACAGTGGGAAGCAATGACGATGGGCCAATGATCTCTCACCGCTTCACGAAACCATTTACATTTCTGCAGCTCAGGGTGCTGTGCACCCAGGCTTTTCAAGCCTGACGAGCTGCACCTCTGCGGAGGTAAAGCTTCACACCCTGAACCTGAAGAAGGGAAGGTGTGTTAACACAGCCCCACCCTGTAAGTTGGGGCCTCTCTCCACCTGTGCTTCCCGATTGAAAGGCAGGATGTACACAAGCTGCTTCTTGCTACGGGTAGTGAAATTGCTAGACACTGGCCTGTCCACCCTCTGGGCTCCCTGCTCCGTCACCCACGCTGGCTGTGACACCGGAGCTGGCGATGCAGGACGGGACAGGCGGGCCTCTCTCCGGGGGCAGCAGCAGATGTTCACTGTCCACAGTCAGCATGCAGTGTGGTTTGCCGCGTTCTCTCCAGCGTCTCGGCCCTGACCGAGTCAGATTCCCAGCAACTCCTGACGGTGAGGTGCTCATACCTGCTCTTCTCAGCTCAGCCAGAAACAGGTTCTTGGCAACTGAGAACCTGTGTGACTCGATGGATGTCATCTTGGAAGCCAAGAGTTTTGAAAGTGGTCAGTTACCAAACCGGTTAATACCATGGTTACAAATGAAGTGCCGCCCTGAAGCAGCAAGCACAGCTGCCCTGTCTCGAAAACTGTCTGCACCCAACTCTGGAAGAAGAGAGCCACGGTGCATTCAGCACTGTCGGCATAAGGACGCTTCTTGAGATGACACCTGGGCGGTCGGATGCACATTCACCCAGGTATCTCACAAATAGTCCCACCTTGTTACACTGACACACTCCAGCAAGTAGCTCCTGGCAAAATGCAAGGTGACCTTGTAAATATGCCTACTTTTATACGTTAACTATCACTAACATGATTAGGTCTCTTCTGCTAGTGAGCTCACCAGCATCTTTCTGTTCCCACGTTTCCAGCTGGGGTGGGTGCGATGCTCCAGGTGATGTGATGATGAGGCAGGACTTCCAGTGCAGTTTGGGGGTTAGATCTGCCCAGTTCTGAGTTCTGCACTGGTGGGTAACCCTGCACTGTTCCAAATGCACAGAAAATGTACACACACACTCATCCACGTTTCCTTGTACCTCTTAGCAGTAGGACAGGACTTCTGCTCAATTTCCGTCTTTACAGTAATGTCACAAGCTGAGGTTGTGCTCAGCCTGCACCCTTCCCCCCCCACCCCCCACCCCCACATACACACACCACGGCAGCTGCTCTCCACCCTGGGCTCTGGGGTAGAAGGAAAATCCACGCCTTACCTGCTTGGGCAGCTGTGATCAGGGCCGTGTTCCCCTCGTTGTCCTGCCAGTTGACGTCAATGTGGGGACACTCTGCTAAGACCACCACAGTATCCACAAAGCCGTGGTAGCAGGCGACAATAAGGCCGGTCTGGAAATAAAGAGGCAAGTGGGTCAGAGGAGCAGATCCCAAGCATCACCACTGCAGAGCCTGGAGTTCCCCCAGCCCCCCAGGGGCTTGACCAGGAGGACCCCAAGTCCCAGTTCTCTGCTGGCAGTTTAGAGCAAACCAGCAGTCTGTTCATTCTCAAATGTTCATTGAGCTCGGACTACCAGTGCCCGGGAAACACCAGAGGACCAAGGTCGCTGCCTGTGTGGGACGTGCCTGCTCAGGGGAAGAGGTTGGACGCAAACTGTAGACCTAGCCTGTGAGTGACAGCGTGTTAGAAAGTGCACTAGGCCAAGGGAGGTGGCTGCATGCAGGGCAGGGGCAGCTCGGTCTTAGAAGGAGTGCGGGGATGGGCCCACTGGGAGGCACTGAAAAGATGAGGAGTGAAGAAACAAGCCCAGGGGACATGGAGGGAAAGGTCCAGGCAGAGGACGTGCCCAGCCCTCCCACAGACCAGCCAGGAGGCCTGTGGAGCAGAATCGAGAGCGAGAAGTCAAGGGAGCAATAGGTCCTGGGAGGCCACAAGGGGTTGGGGCGGGGGGCGGGGCTTTTGTGCAGTGTGATAGGAGCATTCTGAGCAGTCGGGGCCGACTGTCTGCATGACTTGGGCTGCTGGGTGGAAAACAGACCCTAGGAGACCAGGATGGAAGCAGGTAGACCAGATTGGGGGTGCAGGAGACAAGTTGGGGGTGTAGTATAATAAAAAGTATTTGGTCTTTGTCCCCAGTCTGGACACAGAGCTCCTGGGTCCCTTAGCATTCACTGTTTTTATACGCTAATAAGATGACTCTTGTGGGGAGGGGGGGGTGCTTCAGGATGGGGGCTGGTCTCTAGAACATCTACCATGTGATTGGAGGGTTAGATCTTTCAGCCCTACCCCCCACTCTCCCTCGGGGAGGAGAGAGGGACTGAAGATTAAGTTCAATCACCAATGGCCAATGATTTAAGAAAGCAAGTCATGTCCACTTAGAGAAATCTCCATAAAAACCTCTAGTGGAAATTTTAGGCTTCCCACTGAGACTGACATGATGGCTAAGAGTTACCTTTACCCTACCTTCTGGGGGTCTGTTCTAAAAGTCCAACGTTCCCATGGGTAGCGATTTCAACCTTTTCCTATTTCATGGCACATATCAACTAGTTCCTAAAATCTGCAGCAAACCAAAAAATGTGGTTTTTTTTCCGTTGTGACAAAAAAAAATAGGTATAGTTTTGATTCATTCATACCAGAAGGCTATGGTTGTGTGGGCTGTTGTCATTTTTTTTATTTGACAATTTAAGGGAAAAGAGGTCAGTGACCCTGACTAGTCAAATGGTCAGTCACTGCATGTTTTAAAAATTCTTAAGCCCTGGCTGGCGTAGCTCAGTGGATTGAGTGCAGGCTGCGAACCAAAGTGTCATAGGGTCGATTCCCAGTCAGGGTACATGCCTGGGTTGCAGGCCATGACCCCCAGCAACCATACATTGATGTTTCTCCCCCCCTCTCTATCTCCATCCATTCCCTCTCTAAAAATAAATAAATAAAAAATCTTAAAAAAAAATTCTTGTGGCACACCAGTTTGCCGCAGCACACTAGTTGAAAATCCCTGCCATATTTAAAACTAGTGTTTAGCCATGGTTCCAAGTTTCTGTTTTAACTGGTGCATCTTGGTGCCCCCAACAGAAAAGTGGAAGAGGAGGTACAATCTTTGGCAACCTTCTGACTGTGGCCTCCCCAGAACAACCGCAGCAAGAGACTTATCACAAAGGCAAACAGTGTCCGCTCGCTGCATCCACAGACACCCACTTGCAGACGGCTCCCTTGCTGAAACCACAAATAGTGTTTCCTTAAATTATAAGCGAAATGTTCATAAAAATAAAATATTATTATTAAAAATATATAAGTAAGCTACCTACAAATGAAAGCCCCTATTAGAGGTCAGCTAGAAATCTGGGCTCTCAGAACACAATCCCAGTCCTGACTGGTGTGGCTCAATTGTTTGGGCATCGCTGGTGAAGGGAAAGGTCACGGGTTCAATTCCCGTCAGGGCACATGCCTGGGCCACAGGTTTGGTCTCTGTCAGGACACATACGAGAGGCAGCTGATCGATGTTTCTCTCTCCCATTGTTTATTCCCTCCCTCTCTTTCTCCTTCCCTTCCCCTCTCTCTAAAAATAAATTAATTCAATCTTAAACACACACACACACAAGCCCAATTTTCAAAGTCTGTACACCATAGAAAAGTAACACCACCAATAAACAAACAAATAAATAATAGTAAGTTGAGGTGATTCTACTTAAAACATGTGTTTGTACCTCAAAAAACAAAAAACCAAAACCTCATCCCTTGTAGGAAGGATGGTATAGCACCAAGATTCTTACAACATCGTTTAGCATATGAACAAATGAAAGGGGTGGGGGAGGAGCAACAGTGGCCATCATCTGAGTGGGTGAACACATCAAGAGGAACATCCTCTGTGAAGTGAATGGGAACACAGGGTGCATGATGGTTAATTTCACGTGTCCTAGTTTTAAGTGTACCCAGATATTTGGTTAAACGTTATTCTAGATGTTTCTGTGGAAGTACTTTTGAGCTGAGATCAACATTTAAATCAGTAGATGTTGAGTAAAGCAGATTGTTCTCCATGATGTGGATGAACCTCATCCAATCAGCTGAAGACCCGACTAGAACAGAGTCAGAAGGAACTCCGCCCTTGGACTTGGATTATAACTCTTTCCTAGGTGTCCAGCCTGCCAGCCCACCCCGAGGATTTGGGACTTGCTGAGCCTCCCAACTGCATGAATCAATTCCTTAAAGTAAATTTGTGGCTGTGTGTATCTACAGATATCTATAAATATATATAGTTACACACACACACATTGCATCGGTTGTGTTTCTCTAGGGACCCCTGATTAATTAATACAGGGTAGGTGTGGAAGGAACACTCTGGAAGAACTATTTTCATTTTTTACACTCTATGTTTCTATACAGGTAGAATTCTTTAAAACAAACCTTTATTTATAAGGGACTTACATGATGTTAATTCACAATGAAGAATAAGTAAGCAAACATGATGTTTACATTAGTAATGTTCTCAATAGGAAATACACTTGTGTAACAATCACATAAACCACTGTGAGGAGGGGAGGAGGGGAGGAGGACGGGGCGCGTCGGGCAGCAGAAACGGAAGCTGACAAACAGCCAAGGGAAGAAGCAACACAAACCCACAGGCAGATGGCACAATAATAAGATAATTAATCCTGATCATCCAGAAGGAAAAGAATATTACTCATGTTCAAATGTGAGAAAAAATTCCATCTTCTGTAACAATTTTTTTCAAGTTGAGAACCAAGAGAATAAACGTCTTCCCCATAACAATACCACGGACAGGGATGGGGGCTGTGTGTGTGGCTTTAGGGAAGAATTTAGGAAGCCCTGTCTGCCAGAGAGGTATTTCTAAAAGGAGGCCGTGCATTGCCGTCAGCCTGAGTGCAATTTGTTGAAGTGTGTTCGGTAGGCATAGTGTCAATAATGTTGTTCGTAACTAAGCACCATGATGAGAAAGTAAATTCCAGGACTGGAATTTATTTGATCGACGCTGATCGCTCCCACGTGGCCGCACGCTGTCGCCAGGGTTTGGGTTCTCCCCAGCGCCAATCCCAGCCTCGGTTTCCCACGCCTCCAAGCCTGCGCATGTGCAGTGGCCTCTGCCTAGACTGCCCTTCCTCCCACCCCACAGCCTTCACCTATAGTCTGCCTGGCACATGTCAGATCCTCCTGCGAGTCTGGGTTCAAGCCCCTTCTCACCCAGTTTCTGATGCTCTCATTGGGCTGCCTTGCACACACCACTCCTCCCGGGAAGATGGGCACATCTTAACCTTGCTTCCCCAGTGCCTGACATCTACAAGACAGACACTCCATAAGCATTTGTTGAATGAATGAAATGTCCCTGAAATGGTTCAGTGCCACCCACTTCTCACAGTCTCACAGTACTCAACTTACTCTAAACTGAGGAGCCGCCACAAGGTGCTGTGAGCTTTGAGCTTGTTATCTGACTTCCACACTCAGGTTTGGGAATCATCTAAGGTCCCAGGGAAACCTCAAAGAGGAGAGCTGCCTTTCATGTGCTAAGTGTCACTCTAGGCTGGTGCTGCCAGATCTGGAGCTGGAAAATATAGATGTGAAAGCAACAGCCAAAAGCAAAGAAAATGGAAGTGGGCTCATGAATTCGACCCTGGGGGGTGTGGGAGGGGGTAACAAGGGGACTAAATTGTAATGGAAAAAAATATTTAAAAGGTTACATTTTTAAAAAAATAAATAAAAGGCAATAAAAAAAAGAATTCAACCCTAAGGAATTCATTTCAGGGACATCAAAAGTATGTCAAGAGATCTATATAAAGATCTGTAATTGCAAAAGCCTGAGAACAACCCAAATATACATCAAGATGATGACTGACTAACCACGTGGTATGGGACCCTACGTCGTCCCCAACAGGAATGAGGTTGGAATGCAGGTGTCGATGTGAAAAGACCTTTGTGGGATACTGAGTAAAAATAACAATAATAACAACCACAGGTTGGAATGTGATATGATATGACCTCTTTTTGTGTGAACTTCTAAAATGTGTGCACGGCTCCTGTAACGGCTATGTTCATAAAAGATCTTTTATTTTTCTAAAGGGAGATGAAAAATTTTAACTGGCTACCTTCAAGGCACCTAAGAGAGGATGTTTTAAGGCCTTATTTTATATTTTGGATCCAGCTCAATGTCCTTTCAAGGCACATACATTTTTTCATTGTATCAATAAAGTTATTTTGGCAATGAAGTTGCAGGTGATACTTATATTTTTATTCATTTTTCTGCTTCAAATAAAGAGGTGGCTAATAAACTGTTTTTAATTAAGAAAAACATTACAAAAGATAAAATGTATAAAACATATCAGGAGAATTCTTACAAAGGCAGGGCTCACCTAGCAAACTTTGGATAAGGAGTGGATAAATTCAA